TCCACAACAGGTAACGTCAGACTTATTACTTTATGCCGACGACGTGAAACTTTGGAGAGAGATACGCAACCAAGACGATATACAGGCACTTCAGGAGGATCTGACTCGACTTCAAAGTTGGGCAGACGATGACGGACTTACCTTTAACACTTCAAAGTGTAAAGTAGTCCATCTGCGACATGTTGCAAACTACAGTTACAACTTAGGAAACTCCTCTCTAGTAGTATCCCAAGTCGAAAAAGATTTCGGAGTCCTGGTGCCCCATGATTTAAAGTCTTACGCTAACTGTGACAAAAATGCCTTCCAAGCAAACCTTGCACTGGTAACTTTGAAGCGCATTTTTGGCCAGTTTGACGGAAGAACTTTCCACACAATCTTCAATAGTTTCATCCGTCCCCATTTAGAGTACGGAAACATAGTACTCCCCTCTCACTCCAAAAGGACAAGGTTACTTTGGAGCGTATCCAACGGCGAGCCACGGAATCAGTTCCAGGACTCAAATCTAAGCCTTACGAAGAACGCCTCCATTCACTAGACCTTTACGCACTAGAATATAGGCGTCTTAGAGGTGATTTATTAATGGCTTATAGTATTCTTAACACTTCTGGACATCCTCTTAAACACCTACTTAAGCTTAGTTCGAATATTAACCTAAGGGGTAACACCCAGAAACTGGAAACACAACATAGCAAGACGGAATGTAGACACAACTTCTACTCCTAAAGAGTTGTCAAATGCTGGAATTCGCTGCCGGCCGAGCTAGTCCAAGCGACTTCTCAGGAGTCCTTTAAGAGGCAACTTGACCTATTCTTAAGGACCAAGGACAGCATCACACTATGATTTACCAATTTCTTTTCCTCTTTTTGTTAACACACCTAGGTTCCTGCCTGGAGGATTTGGTGATCCCCTGCTACTAGACACGGAAGCCTGTTAAGCGATAGCTTCTATTCCGTCCACAACCATTTGAACCATTTTGAACCATTTGAGAAAGGGGAAATAAAGCGGACGAAAGCGTAAAAAAAGGGAAAATGTCGCTTTTTCGCCTTTACGTCGGTTATTTAGGGAAAATGTCGCATTTTCCCCCTTACGTCGTGTATTTGGGGTAAATTTGTCGACAATTATACGTAACGTACAGTGTTTGAATGAACCGCATCCAGAACTGAAGTTTTCATCAACTTCGACAAATTAAGGCACCGCTTAATAAAGATACAAAACTATTGTCATAGAAACAATGTAAAAGATACGGAACCAGGCATTCGGTTGATACGCATATAAAGTTACTTCGTTTGTTGTTTAGCTGAAGAGTTCCGACATGCCTAGGAGCCATCACAAAAAACCTACGTGATGCAGGTGAGTGACGTGCTCTCAGGATTTCAGGTTCATTGTGACTGATTACCTTCTTAGGCCAATAATATGACTTTTTATGATGTCAGTGAGAATGTACGTAGACGTAGGGCCACTGTGAACTTATCACGTTCCCTTGGTTGTCACAGAACCACTTATAATCAGAGGTCCCAAGCAACACAAAAAGGGGGAATAAAGGCGAAGAAAGGGGAAATAAAGGGGTAAATGCTTTGGTAGCGAAAGGGGAAATAAAGGGGAAAACGCATCAGAATGTCGCCTTTTTCGCCTGTCCGGGGGAAATAATGCGGATTTTCCCCTTTTTCGCCTTTTTGTCGACAAATTACCGACTTATCACCTAAATATCCGCCGAATTCTCGCATTTTCGCCTAAATATCCGCCGAATTGCCTACTTATGCGCTTAATTGTCTACTTTTCGCCTAAATACACACATTACCTCCTTTTTTCTATCCATCGACACAACCACAAAGGTCTCCTATGTTCGCCTTTATTTTCAACAACAGACCAAAATATGTCTGCAATGCATTAGAGAAGCGGTAAATATTTTAAAAATTTTATTTAAAAAGAAAAGCGTATTATTGTACAACAGTAGAGCACAAGCTTGAGCATCGATTGTTATGCATATCCAATGCAATTGCTAATTCATTGTTATTTGAAATTATCTGAAAAAGAAGGAACAGGTTATAATTTATTCATAAGAAATGTGCATTTAATCAAAAGTTCACTGAAACTCAAACATACATTCTCAACACTTCAACAGTTTCCCATGTAAGTAATAAAGTAAGCTGTTTGAAAGAATTTATTATTTATTTGGACACATGAATATTGGTACAAGAGAACGCCAATATTTATGTGCCACACAGAACAATGAATATTCGAAGAGGAATACAAAGAAAAAGAAAAAAAAGCTAAGGAGCACAAAAAAAGAGAGAACAATAACGAAGAGATTGGTGTAATGTAATGTGCTAGTAATCAGGAAACACAAAGGTACAATCGGAAGAAATCTTTCAGGTAAGGGAGACACAACCACTTTTTATGAAGAAAGTAAAAGAAGGTTACAACAGGATCGCCACTGGCTTCTATTCTGAGCCATATCTGATAACGTCTCTAGCCACTGTGTAGCACCATCTCTCGGACCCCAGCCAGGGAGTCGTGAAAAACCGACACAAGCCAGTCCTTTGCAGCTTTCTTTCATACCACGACACCATGTCATGCACTGACCACCTCTCCGCTTCTTCCAACCAGTCCCAGAGTCGGCAAAAAATGCACGACGTGGAATTTTCTAGGACGACATTCGTAGAACATGTCCAAGCCACCGAAGTCGGTGTTTCAAGATGGTGACACCAATTGAATTATCATCTCTGTGCCCGAACACACGATGCCGAACCTCTGCATTACTGACATGGTGTTGCCACTGAATGTCAGCAATCCTTCGGAGACAGCGATGATCGAACACAGAGAGTCGTCTAACGTCCTCAACTCGGAGAGGCCAGGTTTCACAAGCATAGAGCAAAACTGCTCTCACCGACGCGTTGTAGATCCGACCTTTTACAGCCAGACTAACATCACGAAGGCGCCAAAGATGGCCCAGATTGGCATAAGCCGCTCTGGCTTTCACTATACGTGCATTGATCTCATCACACACACCCCCACCAGCACTTATGCAGCTACCCAGATACACGAACTTCTCGACTACGTCTATCTGCTCACCATCCAGGGTGAGTACAGGATTGGAATCCTGCCAGTCTTGTAGAAGTACTTTGCACTTCGAAGGTGCAAAGCACATACCATACCTACGGACACTGATTGCCAACTGATTAAGTGCGGATTGCATGCCTTGGGCATTATCGCACAGTAAGACAATATCGTCCGCATACTCAAGGTCGAGAAGTCTTTCTCCAGGCAACAGATCCACACCACCATTACTTACATTCATCAGAGCTGTTTCCAGAATGTCATCGATGGCAAAGTTGAAGAGGAATGGTGAGATTGGGCAACCCTGCCTAACCCCACTGCTCGAATGGAACAATGGAGAGAGGTGGTTGTATGCCCTCACTCTACCTGAGGTGTTTTTATATAGGGCTTTTAGGATGTTAATAAACTTTTCAGGCACACCCTTCTTCAATAGATAATCCCAGAGAACAGTCCTATCCAACGAATCGAAGGCAGCCCTGATGTCAAGAAACACTACGATTGTTGGCCTTTGATAAGAATGGCGATGTTCTAACATTTGGCGGAGGGTGAAGATATGATCAATACATCCTCGACCAGAACGAAACCCAGCCTGCTCCTCGCGAGTCAATCTTTCTCGAGTTTTGAACAACCTACGAAGTATGACGGAAGTCAATATCTTGGACGCATTCGGAAGTAGACTTATCCACCAATAGTTGTTACAGGAACGACGTGAACCCTTTTTAAAGATAGGGACAACTATCGATACATCATAAACTCGTTCATCAGTTCTTTGCGATTTACGAACTTATAAGAGCACAATTCCACTTCAGGAGATCCTATAAGATATATATTCGCGTGTGAATTTAATATACATACCACTGAGTTTATGATGTATCTAGTGTCAAATACATCTCTCAGCATAATAGCTGCTGATCGGGTTTTGTATGGTTTACGATTTCTTATCCCGGACATACCGAAAAGCATAAGAGGTGTCCTGAAGACGTGTCCAAGTGTTCAACCAAAGTTTATCGGCAGTGGGGTTTACTACCATCTAGGATTGAAAACCAATCTGCTAAGATACGTTGAGCTTTGGTTGCGTACTATTGATTTTGACTCTACATTTATATCTCAATGTAGATGGACTTTCTATGTCTAGAAGCTCCAATCAACAGTTATGGCTTATACTAGGACGGATCATTGCCCCTAGGTTTAGTGACGTGTTCCCGATAGGGATCTACGGACTTGAATGTTAATGTAAACCAATTGCTTTCAAAGTCTAATGAGCGCGAAAGACCGCATCAATTCGATTGAATTGACATATAATTCACACGACGACTACCTCAATTGTGAATAGTCCGTGCAATTGTTTCGATGTTCTACCTACATTTCAATAAACATTATTCTTTCAAACAGCTTACTTTATTACTTACATGGGAAACTGTTGAAGTGTTGAGAATGTGTGTTTGAGTTTCAGTGAACTTTTGATTAAATGCACATTTCTTATGAATAAATTATAACCTGTTCCTTCTTTTTCAGATAATTTCAAATAACAATGAATTAGCAATTGCATTGGATATGCATAACAATCCCCAAGCAACACAAAAAGGGGAAATAAAGGGGAAAAAAGGGGAAATAAAGCGGACGAAAGGGGAAATAAAGGGGAAATGTCGCTTTTTCGCCTTAACGTCGGTTATTTAGTGGAAATGTCGCTTTTTCCCCCTGACGTCGTGTATTTGGGGGACATTTGTCGACAGTTCTACGTAACGTACAGTGTTTGAATTAACCGCATCTGGAACTGAAGTTTTCATAAACTTCGACAAATGTATTCACCGCCAATTAAAAAAACAAAAGTATTTTCATAAAAACAATGTACAAAATACGGAACCAGGCTTTCGGTTGATACGCATATACAGTGACTTCGTTTGTTGTTTAGTTAAAGTGTTCCGACATGCTTTGGAGCCATCACAAAAAACTTACGTGATGCAGGTGAGTGACGTGCTTTCAGGACTTTAGGTTCATTGTGACTGATTACCTTCTTAGGCCAATAATATGACTTTTTCTGATATCAGTGAGAATGTTCGTAGACGTAGGGCAACTGTGAACTTGTCACGTTCCCTTGGTTGTCACAGAACCACTTATAATCGGAGGTGGAATAAAATGAGAGCTGCTTTCATGAAAAAATATCACTTTCCTTCGGTCAGTGAGTTTGCGAATGAAAGCACCGTAAAAGGTAACTGAGTTTAACAATGTTGTTTACTTAATTGATATAAGTAAAGAGAGAAGTCAGTTGTAATGAAAGTACTTCGATTAGTACACCGTCCACTAGCAACTTCAATCAAAGGCTTCCAGCTAATAGTGGTATGAACATTAAATTCGTACGTGAATATATTTCTTATAGGATGTACTGAAGTGAACTTGTGCTCAACGAAGTTCGTGAATCGCAAAGAACAGATGAACGACTTTATGATGTATCTAATGTCAAATACATCACTGAGTATAAAAGATGCTGATCGGGTTCTGTATGGTCTAAGATTTCTTATCCCGGACATACCGAAAAGTATCAGAGGCGTTTTGAAGACATGTCCAAGTGTTCAACGCAAGTTCATCGGCAGTGGGGTTTACTACCATCTAGGATTGAAAACCAATCTGCTAAGATACGTTGAGCTTTGGTTGTGTACTATTGATTTTGACTCTTTAAAGTTGTATGTCAATATAGATGGACTTTCTATGTCTAGAAGCTCCAATCAACAGTTATGGCCTATACTTGGACGGATCATTGCCCCTCGGCTTAGTGACGTGTTCATGATAGGGATCTACGGAGGGAATAGTAAGCCGGCAGAATTCAACGAATTTTCTGCAGACACAATTTCTGAAATAAAAGAAATGACTGACGTGGGTCTTTTTAGTGTTAAGTTTAATAAATGTATAGCTATTACGTTGGCGGCTGTTATATGTGACGCACCTGCTCGTTCTTCTGTTAGGTACACGGTGAATCATAACGGTAAGGCAGGTTGCGATAGGTGTACTGTTCCTGGGAGACGACTGGAGGGTAAGATGACCTTTCCAAATGGGGTATATACTGTAAGAACAGACGACACCTTCCGTCGTCAGACTCAGCCAACTCACCATCAAGGACATTCTATAATGGAAACGCTTTCTATTAATATGATTGTAACTTTTCCTCTAGATCCTATGCACATGGTGTACCTTGGTGTTACCAAAAAACTAGCTAATTTATGGATAAATTTAGCACACCGAAGACTGCAGCACAGCGTTATGCTGAGAGAATGTCCTTCAGCGATAGGCTTCAAATTAGTGGTTTAACAAATACTACCGCAATAGGCCATAAAGATGTCTCCAGTAAACAAGTAATTATGTGTAACAACAGTAAAATAACTTCATGCCAGCCTGATAATGTAGTAGTAGTTAACGGCCAGCCAGGTTTAGTCACTGATATAAAGGAGGATGGACTACTAAAATTTAGGACTTTCACTGACCCACGCAATTACTTTGAAGATCCTTTCCCATCTAGTGATATTGGAATCTTTATGTGCTCCGTAGTTAGCCACGAATACTCCTGGGTATCGGTTCAGGACATTGATTGTAAATGTATAGCCATAAATTGTATCAATTATATAGTTGTAATCCCATTGTTGCATACTTTATTGTAAATGCATTTTGTTTCATTAGTGTTTAAGTAATGATGATAAATCATTTACTTACGTCTTTTTTTCTTTTTAGCCAACTAACAAGAAATACGTTATTGTTGACGTCCTACAGGAAAAACAACTTATGATAGCATCAAAGAACTGGATAGTTGGCAATGACCTTTGCGTTCTTCCGAACGAGCTGGTCGATATACACCTGCAGAAGTGCGACCAACCGAATGAAAATTGGTCGCTTATGAAATGTAAAGTGATTCACGAATTAGGTAGGCTACAGACACAGAAAGTATAATTCACTATAGATTCTCTGCAGTCAGCAAAAGACCTGTTAGCTGCCCTACAGGTACTGGAATGTCGAAGGAAAAACACCTCTACGGATGAAAACACTTTGCCACTGAACACTGAGAAGCCAAAGAGGTCTGTACAATAATCTTACTTACATTTCCTAGAGGTTTAATGAAGCGTAAAGAAGATTTTCTTTACAATTCAGTTGACATGGATGTGGCTGAAATGCAGGCTGGGAATAGCCGCGTACAATATCCAAAATTCCGTGTTTTCAACAAAGTGATATCGCCAATCGCCAAGTACGTTTAATTACTATTTAGATATTCACTATTTAGTTCAACACAATTAGAGATATCACCATCCACATCGCAATGTAAGCCTGTTGGTGGCACTGTATTGGACCAGTAAGTTACCTACATCATCTAGTTACCTTTTTTACCTGTGATAGATTGTATACGGTGGTGCTGAAGATGTCGTCAGCTATCACTGACTTGACTCAAACGATTAACAACATGTCGTCCGCCATTACGAACTTGAATGTTAATGTTAACCAATTGCTTTCAAAGTCTAATGAGCGCGAAAGACCGCATGAATTCGATTGCGGACTGTCAAGTCAGGAGTTCCCTTTGTCATCTGAAGAGGAACTACAGATGCTAGACACTGGTTTGTCGCAGAAAGAAACCAGGGACAGATTTGTAAGTCATTAACATGAATTGAATAATTTGTTACTATTACAGATGGCAATGGTCACTAGGTTATCAGGTGACGATCCAAAAACGTCCATGCGTTTTATTCTGTCGCATCTGCTGACACCGGAGGTTGCCAGTAAATTCACGTTACTTGGCACCTCTTCTAAACGAGCACTACATAAATGCACGTTTTACAGCTGCATACGAAGTAACGTATATCTATTACTTAAACTTCAGGTGCCTTAACTCATCGTTTTTTGTCATCCTCTGTAAATGAGAAAGACCTTGGTAAGCTATACGACATAGCGACACAAGGTTACTTTCACGACCTCCGAGACAAGATGATAAAACGAAATAGAAGAAAAGAAAATCAGGTAGGTACTAATTTAAAGTGATAACCTCCCTACGGCTCTATAGTTACAGTCAACAATACTGACGAACATAACCGTAAGTTCAGCTTCAAGTATTTGGTTGTGCAAAAGCATGTCATTGAGATATGGTTGTGACTTTTTTTTTTTTTTAAAATTCAGAATTCACAGGACGACTACCCCAATTGTGATTAGTCCGTGCAATTGCTTTGATGTTGTACCTCCATTTCAATAAACATTATTCTTTCAAACAGCTTACTGTTTTACCTACATGGGAAACTGTTGAAGTGTTGAGAATGGGTGTTTGAGTTTAAGTGAACTATTGATTAAATGCACATTTCTTATGAATACATTATAACCTGTTCGTTTTTTTTCAGATAATTTCAAATAACAATGAATTACCAATTGCATTGGATATGCATAACAATCGATGCTCCTGCTTGTGCTCTACTGTTGTACAATAATACGCTTTTCTTTTTAAATAAAATTTTTAAAATATTTACCGCTTCTCTAATGCATTGCAGACATATTTTGGTCTGTTGTTGAAAATAAAGGCGAACATAGGAGACCTTTGTGGTTGTGTCGATGGATAGAAAAAAGGAGGTAATGTGTGTATTTAGGCGAAAAGTAGACAATTAAGCGCATAAGTAGGCAATTCGGCGGATATTTAGGCGAAAATGCGAGAATTCGGCGGATATTTAGGTGATAAGTCGGTAATTAGTCGACAAAAAGGCGAAAAAGGGGAAAATCCGCATTATTTCCCCCGGACAGGCGAAAAAGGCGACATTCTGATGCGTTTTCCCCTTTATTTCCCCTTTCGCTACCAAAGCATTTACCCCTTTATTTCCCCTTTCTTCGCCTTTATTCCCCCTTTTTGTGTTGCTTGGGTAAGCGTAAGTTCAGCTTCAAGTATTTGGCTGGGCCAAACAATGTCTTTGAGATATGGTTGTGACTTTTATCGTTTTTCTAAATTCATAATTCACACGACGACTACCTCAATTGTGAATAGTCCGTGCAATTGTTTCGATGTTCTACCTACATTTCAATAAACATTATTCTTTCAAACAGCTTACTTTATTACTTACATGGGAAACTGTTGAAGTGTTGAGAATGTGTGTTTGAGTTTCAGTGAACTTTTGATTAAATGCACATTTCTTATGAATAAATTATAACCTGTTCCTTCTTTTTCAGATAATTTCAAATAACAATGAATTAGCAATTGCATTGGATATGCATAACAATCGATGCTCAAGCTTGTGCTCTACTGTTGTACAATAATACGCTTTTCTTTTTAAATAAAATTTTTAAAATATTTACCGCTTCTCTAATGCATTGCAGACATATTTTGGTCTGTTGTTGAAAATAAAGGCGAACATAGGAGACCTTTGTGGTTGTGTCGATGGATAGAAAAAAGGAGGTAATGTGTGTATTTAGGCGAAAAGTAGACAATTAAGCGCATAAGTAGGCAATTCGGCGGATATTTAGGCGAAAATGCGAGAATTCGGCGGATATTTAGGTGATAAGTCGGTAATTAGTCGACAAAAAGGCGAAAAAGGGGAAAATCCGCATTATTTCCCCCGGACAGGCGAAAAAGGCGACATTCTGATGCGTTTTCCCCTTTATTTCCCCTTTCGCTACCAAAGCATTTACCCCTTTATTTCCCCTTTCTTCGCCTTTATTCCCCCTTTTTGTGTTGCTTGGGTAAGCGTAAGTTCAGCTTCAAGTATTTGGCTGGGCCAAACAATGTCTTTGAGATATGGTTGTGACTTTTATCGTTTTTCTAAATTCATAATTCACACGACGACTACCTCAATTGTGAATAGTCCGTGCAATTGTTTCGATGTTCTACCTACATTTCAATAAACATTATTCTTTCAAACAGCTTACTTTATTACTTACATGGGAAACTGTTGAAGTGTTGAGAATGTGTGTTTGAGTTTCAGTGAACTTTTGATTAAATGCACATTTCTTATGAATAAATTATAACCTGTTCCTTCTTTTTCAGATAATTTCAAATAACAATGAATTAGCAATTGCATTGGATATGCATAACAATCGATGCTCAAGCTTGTGCTCTACTGTTGTACAATAATACGCTTTTCTTTTTAAATAAAATTTTTAAAATATTTACCGCTTCTCTAATGCATTGCAGACATATTTTGGTCTGTTGTTGAAAATAAAGGCGAACATAGGAGACCTTTGTGGTTGTGTCGATGGATAGAAAAAAGGAGGTAATGTGTGTATTTAGGCGAAAAGTAGACAATTAAGCGCATAAGTAGGCAATTCGGCGGATATTTAGGCGAAAATGCGAGAATTCGGCGGATATTTAGGTGATAAGTCGGTAATTTGTCGACAAAAAGGCGAAAAAGGGGAAAATCCGCATTATTTCCCCCGGACAGGCGAAAAAGGCGACATTCTGATGCGTTTTCCCCTTTATTTCCCCTTTCGCTACCAAAGCATTTACCCCTTTATTTCCCCTTTCTTCGCCTTTATTCCCCCTTTTTGTGTTGCTTGGGTAAGCGTAAGTTCAGCTTCAAGTATTTGGCTGGGCCAAACAATGTCTTTGAGATATGGTTGTGACTTTTATCGTTTTTCTAAATTCATAATTCACACGACGACTACCTCAATTGTGAATAGTCCGTGCAATTGTTTCGATGTTCTACCTACATTTCAATAAACATTATTCTTTCAAACAGCTTACTTTATTACTTACATGGGAAACTGTTGAAGTGTTGAGAATGTGTGTTTGAGTTTCAGTGAACTTTTGATTAAATGCACATTTCTTATGAATAAATTATAACCTGTTCCTTCTTTTTCAGATAATTTCAAATAACAATGAATTAGCAATTGCATTGGATATGCATAACAATCGATGCTCAAGCTTGTGCTCTACTGTTGTACAATAATACGCTTTTCTTTTTAAATAAAATTTTTAAAATATTTACCGCTTCTCTAATGCATTGCAGACATATTTTGGTCTGTTGTTGAAAATAAAGGCGAACATAGGAGACCTTTGTGGTTGTGTCGATGGATAGAAAAAAGGAGGTAATGTGTGTATTTAGGCGAAAAGTAGACAATTAAGCGCATAAGTAGGCAATTCGGCGGATATTTAGGCGAAAATGCGAGAATTCGGCGGATATTTAGGTGATAAGTCGGTAATTTGTCGACAAAAAGGCGAAAAAGGGGAAAATCCGCATTATTTCCCCCGGACAGGCGAAAAAGGCGACATTCTGATGCGTTTTCCCCTTTATTTCCCCTTTCGCTACCAAAGCATTTACCCCTTTATTTCCCCTTTCTTCGCCTTTATTCCCCCTTTTTGTGTTGCTTGGGTAAGCGTAAGTTCAGCTTCAAGTATTTGGCTGGGCCAAAGAATGTCTTTGAGATATGGTTGTGACTTTTATCGTTTTTCTAAATTCATAATTCACACGACGACTACCTCAATTGTGAATAGTCCGTGCAATTGTTTCGATGTTCTACCTACATTTCAATAAACATTATTCTTTCAAACAGCTTACTTTATTACTTACATGGGAAACTGTTGAAGTGTTGAGAATGTGTGTTTGAGTTTCAGTGAACTTTTGATTAAATGCACATTTCTTATGAATAAATTATAACCTGTTCCTTCTTTTTCAGATAATTTCAAATAACAATGAATTAGCAATTGCATTGGATATGCATAACAATCGATGCTCAAGCTTGTGCTCTACTGTTGTACAATAATACGCTTTTCTTTTTAAATAAAATTTTTCAAATATTTACCGCTTCTCTAATGCATTGCAGACATATTTTGGTCTGTTGTTGAAAATAAAGGCGAACATAGGAGACCTTTGTGGTTGTGTCGATGGATAGAAAAAAGGAGGTAATGTGTGTATTTAGGCGAAAAGTAGACAATTAAGCGCATAAGTAGGCAATTCGGCGGATATTTAGGCGAAAATGCGAGAATTCGGCGGATATTTAGGTGATAAGTCGGTAATTTGTCGACAAAAAGGCGAAAAAGGGGAAAATCCGCATTATTTCCCCCGGACAGGCGAAAAAGGCGACATTCTGATGCGTTTTCCCCTTTATTTCCCCTTTCGCTACCAAAGCATTTACCCCTTTATTTCCCCTTTCTTCGCCTTTATTCCCCCTTTTTGTGTTGCTTGGGTAAGCGTAAGTTCAGCTTCAAGTATTTGGCTGGGCCAAAGAATGTCTTTGAGATATGGTTGTGACTTTTATCGTTTTTCTAAATTCATAATTCACACGACGACTACCTCAATTGTGAATAGTCCGTGCAATTGTTTCGATGTTCTACCTACATTTCAATAAACATTATTCTTTCAAACAGCTTACTTTATTACTTACATGGGAAACTGTTGAAGTGTTGAGAATGTGTGTTTGAGTTTCAGTGAACTTTTGATTAAATGCACATTTCTTATGAATAAATTATAACCTGTTCCTTCTTTTTCAGATAATTTCAAATAACAATGAATTAGCAATTGCATTGGATATGCATAACAATCGATGCTCAAGCTTGTGCTCTACTGTTGTACAATAATACGCTTTTCTTTTTAAATAAAATTTTTCAAATATTTACCGCTTCTCTAATGCATTGCAGACATATTTTGGTCTGTTGTTGAAAATAAAGGCGAACATAGGAGACCTTTGTGGTTGTGTCGATGGATAGAAAAAAGGAGGTAATGTGTGTATTTAGGCGAAAAGTAGACAATTAAGCGCATAAGTAGGCAATTCGGCGGATATTTAGGCGAAAATGCGAGAATTCGGCGGATATTTAGGTGATAAGTCGGTAATTAGTCGACAAAAAGGCGAAAAAGGGGAAAATCCGCATTATTTCCCCCGGACAGGCGAAAAAGGCGACATTCTGATGCGTTTTCCCCTTTATTTCCCCTTTCGCTACCAAAGCATTTACCCCTTTATTTCCCCTTTCTTCGCCTTTATTCCCCCTTTTTGTGTTGCTTGGGTAAGCGTAAGTTCAGCTTCAAGTATTTGGCTGGGCCAAAGAATGTCTTTGAGATATGGTTGTGACTTTTATCGTTTTTCTAAATTCATAATTCACACGACGACTACCTCAATTGTGAATAGTCCGTGCAATTGTTTCGATGTTCTACCTACATTTCAATAAACATTATTCTTTCAAACAGCTTACTTTATTACTTACATGGGAAACTGTTGAAGTGTTGAGAATGTGTGTTTGAGTTTCAGTGAACTTTTGATTAAATGCACATTTCTTATGAATAAATTATAACCTGTTCCTT